GCGCTTATCTTTGCAACGGATCTATCGAGGTAGTGTGAAGCGAGAGATGCATTCCAGAGATAAGAAACTTCGAGTCGAAAATAATATCCATCGCTGGCGCGCGCTTATCTTTGCAACGGATCTATCGAGGTAGTGTGAAGCGAGAGATGCATTCCAGAGATAAGAAACTTCGAGTTGAAAATAAATGAATGCTCGCATCGGTGGTCGTCTCCTCGCTGCTGTTTCGTCACACCAATGCTACAGATCCGTTTCAAAGATAAGAGAGAAGGCCCGAGCGCTCGGCGCTGCAACGTTGTCGGACGTATGTGTTTGGATGTTAATATTGTTACATTATTGTGTGTGGCAACGCTGTCTCGCTTCATGGCGTTCGAAGATCTAGCAAAGCGAGAGATCCCTCAGAATGATAAGCGCGCGCTCGTATTGGAAACGAATACTTGGATTATTTATTTATTTTAAAGTGGGTGACGTCATGCCGTTACCTTCATAGCGTTCGAAGTTCCAGTAAAGCGAGAGATCCCTTAGAATGATAAGCGCGCGCTCGTATACCCATTCCTCAAACTGCGACTTCAATGACAAAAACAAGATTGAATTTTCATATACAGGGCGTTTGAGTTGATTGATAATTGAAAAAAAATATATATACAGGGCGGCCCATGGGGGTGAAAGAATACGAAAACGAAGATAAATAATCTATTTATTTAAGTAATCCTTTTCTACAAAAATGACATGCCTCTTGAGAAGATGGCGGTCCATCCCAGTGTGTGGTCCAATCGGGACGATTATAATGAACGAAGCATGGCAGTTTGATTTGTAGGTTAAAGTTGCTGCGATATTCTTGAGGAAGTTTGTGCCACACCCTTAATAGCCCATAAGGATCTGCATATTCAATGAGACATTCTACTGGAATGTACTGCAATTCTTGTTCAGTGAATTTCGTCAAAGTCAAAGCGGGAGATTTTATAAACTCCAATAGCACAGCTATTTCAGACTTCATGATTTTTCGAGCAGAGCTAAAATATTTCAGATGCTACTAGTCTCGCGTCAAGTTGTAGACTGATGAAATGAAAAAAAACTAGTCACATTTTTCACAACATTTTATTCAAATCAGACATAACCTCATTTTTACAATAATATAGATATTCTCTGAGAGCGTTACTAGACATGCTATCACAAACATCACAAAATCCAGATATAAGCTCTTCCGCACCCAAATCAGTCAGGCTATTTCTAATCCAATCGGCTATAGTATTCAAAATGTTTTGATAATACATGGAAAAGTCCAATTTGTTTATTAGCGCAACTCGATGTGAAACAACACACGTTTCAGCACTCAAAATGTCTGCAACATCCTCTTCCACCAATTCGAATGTAATGTGGTATTTGGTGAGTGACAACATTTTGACACCATCGCAAACGAATATTTTAGATGAATGGACTGATCCGAATATCTTGGTGGATAGACTGAGATATTTAATGGAATCAGATAAGAACAACGATGAGATTGCCTTTATTCTTACTGAACTTGAAGATGTTGGTATAATATCTAAGAAATAAATGATGTCAAAATTATCCGTTTTTTATTCAACACCTGCTAGGCGAGTAGACTCACAATGACTACTCAACTTGGCATACAAAAATATATATTTAAAAACCCTGTATAATGACTGGTAGGTAGTGTAATGAAATCATAAACTTGGTTGACTTGCTGACTGTCTTTGGTCGACTGTCATTTTTACGATGATAATCACTCTAAGAGTCACAAAAATGAAAAACGAAGTAGCGACATTTCTTGCTGACCCGCCCTGTATAGCAGAAATATTTTTTAGTGTGAGATATTGAATATTAGGTCTAGGACTAAAAACAGCTCTTGTTTCAGCTTGAACAGCTGTTTTTTGTGTGATTTCGATAGTTCCTTGTATCTCATATGGAACGATAAGAGAATCAATAATAATAGGATTATTTCCTTTATTATCCGTTAATTTTAGTCTATAACTCAGCTGATTTATTCATCTTCCTAGGCTTTGAAAGAATATGATTTTCTGTATACGCCAAATATAGAACAACCAAGATAACGGCATCCTGTTTGAACGCTCCAACTTGAACAGCTGTTTGATTTCGGTAGTTCGTTGATTTCGTGAAAAGACGATAAGAGAACCCGTGTATGTCTTTTATACCAACTCGTTAATTGTTGTCTATAGCTCATCTATTGTAAGAGTATCAGATTTTGAAATATACGGCGGATTCAGTGGCAGATAAAATGCATAACAATGCTTGAATATAATATGCACACATGAAGATAAGCCTCTCAATGTATAGGGTGAATCAGTCAGTATAGTCGGACAGTGGACTGAGTTTTACAAAAGAATCATATTATGTGATGCATGAAAGAAATGCTCAATAGATCATATTATCAATAAGCCAAAAAGGAGCAACAAGTTGTGTTCTTCTTTGCCAGTAGTCGGACACTTGTCTTTTATCGTGCAGAGTGAATGAAAGCACTCAAGTATGCTGCATAAGTTAAATCATACGAGCATTCTGTGTGAGTTATATACTACGCGTTTTCTATGATTACAGCAAAACTCTTCAGCTTGCTGATTTTCTCACAACTAATAGTCTGTCATTTCATGAAATTCGATATTGGAACATGGTGTATGTTTATGTGGCAATTTTTGTAGAAAAATCAATTTATATCATAGGTACTTAACTAGAATACATTGGGCTGATAATTGAATAGGGTGTTCTCCTAGGAAAAAAACACCTAAAATTCAATCAAAACTGTATTCGTACTTATTCCTATACCAAAGCCGGCGGCTAATTTCATCGATAACAAATTGGAATGATTATACTAAATATTCCTCAATAAGATTACCAAAGAACCTGCTTAACTTCATGAACCATGTAATAAACGACAAAATTTAAATATATCTCTTCAGCATATTCATTGCTGAATTTATTTGTTATACCAGCCGATAGATGGCGGTACAACTACGTTGCTAAGAGTTACTAACAGCCGTCGGCCGAGCGCCAACAAATATGAGCCTCAAACAACTGTTATCATCTTCCATTGGCTATTGCACTGCACCGAACTTATATATTTTCGGATTCGAATTGTTAGCTTATATCTGCAAATAGGTCGGTCATTCTCAGGATTTCAGAATGAAAATAATTCATACCGTGTCATCCATCACTGTCATCAAATAAAAAACATCCTGAAAGTTTCTTCAAGATGTTCCATATCAAGTACCCTGAATGTCTCTGGTACATCCCGTATCATCCCACAAATATTCTGATGGGATGTTTATAAGACATCGCAAATGCTGACAAGAATGACCCAAGGAAAATAGGGATTTTCCAGAGTTGTTCCTATCATCCCATATGGATGGTTCTACGACGTCTTACTGATGTTATTGTGTTATTAGGGCATGCGCATGGTGAGCGATGCCACACTCACTAATTCTTAAAAAACATCTGAACAAAACGACTAAGTTCATCATAGGAAGTGTTTCCAAGATCTCCAAATGCGAAATCTCTGAAATTTTCTGTGTATCATTGGGATGGGTAGTGAGTGTAAGAGAGAGTGAGAAGGTAAAAAAGTGAGAAGAAGAGAGAGAGAGAGAGAGAGATTGGATGGATATTAGTTGAAGGTATGGATGTAAAAAACAGTTGTATGATGTCTTCTGACGAATACAGACGTGCACTAGAAGAATTTGGGTTGAAAGTTAGAAAGCTCAGTGCAGACATCCAATTGTATGAGCAGAAAGTTTGTTTGTTCAAAGATTTCGAGCAATTGAGTGTTTGGGACAAGGTGTTCACAGAACCAAGACGTTCAGTTGCAACGTTTCCTACATCGAGAAGAATCCAACCAACACAGCTACTAGATGGCGATACTGAAAGCAAGCTTCATTCTATTGACAGCTCTGAGCAACAACGTCTTTTACACAAACATACCGTACAATACGAGGAATGCAGCCGTATGTTTTGATGTGAATCGTACACAACAGTGTGATTGGAAGCTGATGCGTAGAATGTATGTCAATGATAACAAACTACCTGTATTTTCAATCGACATGCCTCGAGTCAATGGGACCACCATCGACTACAAATTGAAATTATCGTTTTCTGATGGCAGTGACGGCGAAATGGGAGACTGGCAGACATTTACATTGAAGAAATCACCCGCAAAATTAGATGATGATCAAGATTCTGTCAATATCATTGCAATTTTGACACTTTGTTGTACACTAATATGTTCACTCATTTTAATCTCACATGTTATTTTCATTATACTGAGAAATAAGGGATGTGATGAATAAAAACTCTGAAATTACGATATATAGTTTTTTATTTTGGCAATAAATTACATAACCAATTATATAAAGTATCGACATTGTGGAGACTGCACTGGAACCTTCCTCCATGGAAATGATTCATGCAAGGTGGAATGGATTGTTGAAACGTTATTGGTTGCCACCAAGAATTGTCAAAATCTTCTAAATTCACAATGTGATTGGTCATCTCCAACTCTGCACATTTTCGCTGCAAAAACTGAATCTTTTGATGGCCTCTTACGTAGATGATGTTTGTCTGCTGCAGGTTATCTCGTAGTATTTGATCCAACTCATTCAAATCCACATAACCACTGGAATATTTTAAACCATGAACGTAACGCTCCACATGATTTGCCATCTTTTTATCTTCTCTGCTCAAACTCGAAAATTCTACAGATGGCTTGAATAGAAAATGACTCGTCTTTTTGCCAATGCGAATGGTCATTTCCTTTGGAATGAATTCACCATCAACCATGAACCCTTGAATGTCAACCAGTGCGATCTCCATGACTCTTCGAAGCAAACTGACGTCTGACTGATGCAGCAACACCCACCTAGGCAATATTTCGAACAATTTCGCTGAGTGGGAGATGTTCCATGATTTGATCGTGAATGATGATGCAATAGGCTTTGGTGTCGGGAGGGAAGCCTGTAGTCGCTTCAATGTCCAACTTTATGTCAACTGTAGACGACTTTAGACCCAGATGGCGCCTCGAGCAATCGATAACAAACATTGGTCGGGATTTGAATTCGGCAAAGTTTACTAGAGAGCGCTTTTCTTGACAGTTATGGTAGCTCTTGTTGAACTCTGTATAGTTGAAGTGAGCGTCAGCATATTGGTCTCGGGAAAAGTCCAATAGCATTCGTTCTTGCGGATAATAGTCGCTATTCAGAGCCAATCGTATGGATTTGATGTTGGCATTATCGAACAAGGTGACGTCTTCATGCAAATTATCGGCTTTTTTCGTTTGGAAAAATACTATAACATATCTTGGACTGTCCAATGCAGAACATGTCTTGACGGACCAGATTTCTATGGTAGATCCTTGTGTGAGTGCTGGTAGCTCGTGCAATTCCCATCGGCGAAACGGTATCATCATAGACTCATCTGCTTTGATACGTGTCAACAACTGCAACTTTATGTCATCGTTGGGTGTGAGATGTGGCACTTTCAAATTGATGCTTTCTATCGTTATTTTAGCAATACTCTGAGTCTGAGGAGATCCTTGCAAAGCAGTATTCGCTCTCTCGACAACCTTCACACTATTGGCATCATTGCGAGCTCTCACTAAACGGATTGACTGCTTGCCCCACGTTGCCACTTGATGATCATTGAAGATGGAAAACAAATGTTTCAGTGGAATGTTCATGCTAAACGTACCATCGGTGTTGAGGATCGGAGCATTGGGATAGTTCCAGCCTGCTATGGCTAGATGACGTGAGTCTTCAGGTGTATAACACAAGTATCCTCGCACAGTACTCGTTATTCCAGGATATCTGACAGTGTCCAATTCTTTATTACACAATTCATAGGTGCAGGAATCAAAGAGATAAGCTCCAGCATTGTGGGTTAATGTACCAGTACCACCACCGGTCACCTTCAATTTACCCTTGATGGTAATGATGCCTTCAAACATGGCCAACCACGAATCTGCTTGATTAACCGTTATATCGATGACATCATTGTTCTCGAATGATTTCACATATGGATAATAGGTACGCCATTCCACTTTAGTGATGCTTTCGTCGAGTCTGGGTTTGCGGAAAACGTCGAACACGGGTGCTAACAACATTGTAGTCTTTGAGTGATTTCAGAAACAGGACACTGGATAATGTCAATGTTTTTCTGTTGCTGCTGCTGCTGCTGCTCTTCGAAGACACGACTGCTTTGGTGTACGGTGTCGAGAGAACTGGTGCTGATGATGTTGCTGATGATGGTATATTATCTGATTTATAGGAGTAATCAAACACTAGTACCATCTTGTGAGTTTCTTCAATTCCAATCTTATGATGATTTCTTCACCTCTAAAATTCACCTGCCTGAAATCTTGGTCTAGAATCTGGAGTGTAATGTTGGGCAATTCCCGCCTGCTGACTATAGGTAGATAGATTAGATTTCTGGGAGTCTCGTCTATGGCGTAACCAGGATCGACTGCAACTGCAAACTCGTAGATCGTATGTGATGGTCTGTCGTTGTAGAGAGCTCCAGCAGTAACGTTGCTATCAATGTGAATGGTTCTCACTTTGGTTATGCTGACCGGCAAATCGGAAGTGTGGACTTGTTGTGCGTTCAACAATCTATTTGAAAATCCCAAGACTTGAGCTATGCTATCCTTCGGGCGAAAATCAATGGCAAACTGTTTGCTCGAAATCTCACACTTTAGTGTATTATTGTTGGGCTTCAACGAGAATATATCATCAACGTCCTTTGCACTTGAGATGCCCAATTCTTTGCGTATGAATGTCTCAATGTCCACAATGTCGTATGAACCTTCGGGAATATCGATGATCTTTCCCGCCTTGGTCTTATCTTGCAGATAAAACTTTGATCCTTTGTCGATATTCGGTATACTGTTGTATGAATGGAATCCCAACAATGCTAGTCCGTAATCAGAGTCTGGATCGAGTTGAAGTGGTGTCAAAAAGTCTATGGAGAGCGTAGATGTACGACCTTTCAACGTCACAATCAGAGACATGACTGATGCACAATGACCGAGTTACTTGGTCTCATTAAAAAGGAATTCTAAACATAGACGTCCACAATTACTTTGATTGAAATTCTGGTATTGATTGTTATTGTACAAGATTTTCGTGCTGGCACCCAAATATTGCGCCAATTCTCTGGGCGGTTTCAGATTACCATAACTATCGAAATATAAGGCTTTTTTATCATTTTTTATGTAAGCCACCCAATGAGTGCCCGCATGATTGGAGGTATCCAAATTCAATACAGCACACTCGCGATGCCATGGACCGGTGGAAGGTAGAGTGTCCCGCATAAAAACACCTCGAAAATATGGTATTTTCAGCTGTTTGGCATACTTTATCACATCTTTATCGTACATTGATTTATTGGGTAGCTTGTCTAGAAGTTTTTTGAGTTTTTTGATTGTTTCTTCAAGTACAGTCCGAATCCTCTCGATGTTTTGCGTAGAAATAGGCCGGAACCCTGCTTGCCGATAGCCTCCATTGCTTTATTATGTCTTTGATCTTCTTCGAGCTTTTTCTTTGCATTTTTCGCATCAATGACTGTCTTTGCGACTGCTCCGGCTCCTCCAGCTAGAGATCCTAGGGCTCCCAAGGCGGCAAAGATTGGTATCAATGGTAGTATACCGCCACTGTGTGGAAGAGGTATGATTCTTGGTACTCTGATTCTTTTTTTACCGCCAGCCCTCTTGACTGCCATTCTGGCTGCATGGAGTGCTTTCAATGCAGATTTATTCAGACCACTTCCTGATGTTGTACTACCACCACCACCATCTGACTTTGATAGTACATTTTTTATGAATTTGATAATGTTGGATAGGGATTGCTGTGATACAAGACCCATGCCAAGTTTTCGTTTGACCTTCATTCCGGTGGTGACAAGCCAAGCAGCAGCCTTCTCTTTGAATTTAGCGTTCTTCGACTTGACTCTCTCCCACGCTCTATTTTCCAATATCCAATCAGCTTTGTGCCTGTCTTCTATTGAGGAATTTTGTGAATAGGCGATATCGTGTTCTCGACACGCGTCGTCCAACGGATTGATACCGGTGTCTCCTCTTGCAAGTCTTTTATCGAGTTTGGTACCTGGACCACAAAATCTGTAGCCTGGAATGTGTAATTCGATGGGAAGTTTATCGATCAGAGAATTAAGCACACCCTCTCCGTGGTAGAGCAACATGAAGACTGACGTGTAGGAAGTTCGACAACTCTGCATATACCTAATGAAATGAAAAATATATCATCACATGATGAAGATCATTCAACAAGAACGGATGTTACCCATTGTGAATTTGGATGAAATTTTGTCAACCAAACCACCAGTAAATAGTAAACATGGGAAACTGCTTCCCCATTCGTTCAGAGCAATCTTCTGCGGACCAAGCGGATGTGGAAAGACCAATGCGATGCTTTCCCTGCTGTTCAATCCAAATGGCGCGAAATTCGAGAACGTTTACGTGTATTCAAAGTCGTTGTACCAACCGAAATATCAATTGCTGCAACAAGTGTTGGATTCAGTGAAAGGTGTTGGGTATTTTCCCTTTAAAGAAAATGATGATGTCATCAGTCCATCAGAAGCGAAAAATAATTCGATATTCATTTTTGATGATGTATCATGCGACAAGCAGCAAAAAATTCGAGAATATTTTTCAATGTGTAGACACAAGGATATTGACGTAGCATACCTATGCCAGACTTTTTCTAAGATACCGAAGCAGCTGGTGCGAGACAACAGTAACCTGTTGGTGTTATTTCGACAGGATGAAATGAATTTGAAGCATGTGTTCGACGAGCATGTCTCACCAGACATGTCATTCGATCAATTTAAAGCATTGTGCTCAGAGTGTTGGAATTCCAACCAATATGGTGCGATGGTGATTGCAAAAACTTTCGATATGAATGCTGGCAGATATAGAAATGGTTTCGATAAGTTCATAAGACTGTGATCTCTGGACCATTCATCAAGATGACGTCAACCAAGATGCATGATGATGTTGCTGATGCGCTGCGCAAGAAAAAAATCAACGAACTATCGAAATCAATCAGAAGAAAATATTTAGCACTAAAATTGGGCAAGTCTGAGGATGATGATGCGTTACAGAAAATATTCCAACCACTGACATCACCTTTGAAACAAATTGCCTCCGCGTCCAAGGTCATAGAAGAAAAACTCGATGGAACGCTTTCAAACATCAAGCGAAGCAGAGCAAAATCGTTGGGGTTGAAGAAGGAGAAGAAGGAGGAAGAGGATGGGGAGGTGGAGAGGGAGCAATCGGATTTGAACCAAACTAATTTCATACCTATGATGGATGTGGCTGATAATGCTGGGCATACTGAAGATGATGATGAGGATGTCGATGATGATGATGAACTTTTTGTAGATAGTGAAAATATCTCACCGGCTGCAATACATGATTACGTTGATCAGTATCCTGCGATGGCTCAAAAATATCTGACTGAATACTGGACAAATGATGAAAATATCGATACGGTTTATGGTCCCAAATATGATCCAGTAACATCGAAATGGTCTCTCAACGGAAAAGAAATGAATTTCCATCGAAGAACTGGAGATATACTTCTTGATGGCTTTCGGTTCCGTGGCACCCCAGGCCTCTATCAATTACTCTTCTATAATGATCCATCCTTTGCCAAAGATGATACGAACCCATACAGGCAAATACTCTTGCTCACCGAAGCTCATCTGAATTCTGCAGGACGTATGAAGTCTTCCTCTAGACTCAAATACGTAGAAATTATTCGTCCAATGTTCAGATCCAATTCCAGTGGTCGTGGTTTGAAGTTGACATACAGCACAACACCTATCGAATACATGTATTGGGATGATCCAAACGAATTGGTAGATAGATTGAAGTTGCTCATTGCATCACAGCAAGCCGGAAATACATCAAACGATAACGAGATTGTTGCCATCTTGAACGAATTAGAAGAGGCAGGCATAATAAAACATGTGTGACGATTCGGTGACATTTCCGTGTTCCGTGATACTTCCGTGACACTTCCTTGACACTTCCGTGACAGTTCCGTGACACTTCCTTGACACTTCCGTGACAGTTCCGTGACACTTCCTTGACACTTCCGTGACAGTTCCGTGACACTTCCATGGCATGTCTATGAGTGAAGGGGCTAATAATTGGCGAGGCAAAGTGCCGACCATAATCGATAACGTACAATACTTTAGTCATTAGCATAATGAGTCTCGACAAATTCGGACGTGGTTCGTTTCCACGCTCAGCTCAGATGGTGACAGTCAGATCTGGATTTTCACATACTCCAACCGGTGATATTGATGTTGGTCATTTGAAGATGTGTAATGTAAAACTGCCAACAGATGTCGCTGATGTTGCAAACAAACAATATGTGGATGAAGTTATATCGCAAATAAAGTTAGATTTCAAGATTGCTTTCGATAATTACGGTGAAAAAATCCGAAATTACCTTGCTGGCTTCAGCAACGAAATTATCGATGTACGAAAGAGAGTGGATTCTCATGATCTCAAACTGGCAACGTACAATACAAACTTTGTTCAGT